CCCTCCTCGCCCGCCTCGCGCGGTGGCAGCGCGGAGGGCTGCCTGCCGAAGACGACCGTGCATGGCGCGCAGCGCCGCCCACGCGGGCGAGGCCGTTGCCGGCGCAGGCGGCATGGGCCAGCACGGATTCGAAGATGGCGGTAATGTGTTCAAGCTCCAACTGCTCTTCCTCGGCGCAAAGTGCACGCCGTAGCATTGCACCGCGTCGCTCTATGAAGCGAGCGTGCGGACGCGGAGCGCGGATATCCACCTGGGATCCTCTCCTCCTCATCTCCACTACGGAGTACTTGGAGGTCTTCTCGCCTTCGCCGTCGTCTCCATTGGTCCGAATAGCTAGACCCAGGACCTGCCAACTACTGCCGGCAACGCTGAGTCGAATAAATCTGCGATCTACTGGCCGTTGCGCCGCCTTCAGGCGCAGCAGACGAAGGCGCGCTGGCGGGAGCCACTTACGGCATTCACGACAATTGTGGACTACTGTGGGGATGAGGTCGAGGACGGGCTGCGGCATGTTGGCAGCGGGCAGTGCTCGAGCCATATCCTACCTTGTGGCGTGCCACCACCAAAGATGAAGCCCGGGTTGCTCTCGCATGCGTGTCCCGCGCGAATCGCCGCGCAGCGCTCGTAGTGACGCGGCGATGTCGGCATTGGCAGCGCGTGGCGCTGCCAGTCTCGGCGCTGCGCCGGCCCGCTGGAATTGCGCGCAGTCGCGGGCCGGCAACGCAGTTGCCGGAACCCTGCCCTGGGCCCCTGCACTGGAGGATGAACTTGCTCCTGGTGTGCTGGATGGTGCCGGTCGCAGTTCTGCCTCGGCTGCTGCTCCGAGGTTGGCTCCTCCAGGTAATGGGCCTATTGGTCGCTGGCTGGGCTTGGTCATCCAGGCCGCGCTGGTGCTCGCGCATGTTGGCCGGTACGCGGGCGCGACCGCGCACGGGCATCCGCGAACCTGCATTTGCTGAACTCGGGAACATGTGCTGGATGTTAGAACTGTTAGCGATCCGTCTCCTCGCAGCAGCCAGGGCATTCCCAGCGCATGGGGGCGCTGCGAGGGCGCCGGCAAGTGGCCGGGTCTCGGGAGTGCAAAGGCGCGTCTTGCACGTTTAGCGCGCGCGCTCAGCGGCCATGGCACTCCTGATCTCGCCATCTGCGGCCACTGAGCCACTGATTGCAAGGCTGCCGTGTCGAAGTCGCATTCACAAGCGTAGTTCGCCTTGCGCAGGCGTTTCAAGCGTCGTCGCAAGTCCACCATCTTCCATGGCCGGACTTGGGCGTCAGAGCTGTTGTGGCCCTCGACGTGCACGGGGGCTCGCCGGATGGTGCACTTGACGTTCGCGCTCGAGGATCTCCGGGGCGTTGGAGACCGAGCCCGCGGTCTTTCGTAGGATACCCCCGCGACGATCACGCAGCCAGAGTTGGCGTTCGTCGAACATGATAACCTTGTGCGCGCCTGGTGACGCCAACAACTCTGGCCACGGCGGTTCGCAACGCAGCCGCGATGGGTCGGGCTACAACCGAGCTACAGCTGTAGCATAGCTGAGTGGCCGCAGAACCGGCCATGTAGGCCCGCGTCCTCATGGGAGCGCAGCCGGGCGCTGCATTTACGTCTGTAATGAAATGTAACCCATCGACCAAAAGGGCCGACAGGTAGAAGCCATGATGGCCACTAGGGGGTGGTCTTGTAGGACGTCTCGCACCGCGGCTCTCTGCTGACTCCCCCCGTTGAAGTGGCAGCTCGTCGCCGAATCGAAGTTGGCGCCCGCCGCGAGGCGGCGGCGGACGGCAAGCTGGGCGGCCCGAGCCTCCCCGCCGCCAATATCCATGATGTCGGCGCCGTGGTCAAAGGGGGTGAGGTGGGTGAGGGAGCGGCGGATGTCGCCGAACTTGGTAGGCTGGGTCGTTCGAGCACTCGACGGATGGCGACCCGCTGCCCTGAACGACGAACCCTGAAACCACCGGGTTGGCTTGACGTGAGGCTGCCCTGGAGGTCGTCGTCGTCGTCGCATTCGTCGGCGTGGCCCTGCCTGCTCGCCAATGGCTGGGAAGCCCGTGAAATAGGCCAGACCTGCGAGAGCGGTGCCGAAGTCGTCGTGGTGGTCCTCTACGACGTGCTAATACGTGCTCCAGGCACGTGGCCATCCTTTATCATCGCCTTCTGGCGCATGCGCTCTGCGGTAGGGTGCGTGCCGACTACGCAAACGTAGGGCACCTGTAGTGGCTGGTCGCCCGTAGGAAAAGCAAGTCCTAGGTAACGTTTCTGTGGTTGTTTGTGCTCGTGGTCATGGGCGTCTTGCTGGGTTTTCTGGTATGTGGCGTGCTGCTCGGCCTCGTGCTTGCCAGTCGCCATGGGACAGGAAGTAGCGTTGGCACTGTCCTCATAGCATACATACTGTTCTCGATGAGATTGCTCTGTGGTCCTGAGTGCGCTGTTCGGAGTCGCGCTTGCCAGTCGCCATGGGACAGGAAGTAGTGTTGGCACTGCCCTCGAGACATACAGTCCTCGATGATCGTGTCATTTTTTGCGTGCTGATCGGCGTCGCGTTTGCCAGCCGCGATCAGACAGGCAGTAGCGTTGGCAGCGTCCTCTAAACATACCATTATCGGGTATCTTGTTCCGCGGTCCTCAGCGTGCTGTTCGGCGTCGCGGTTGCCAGTCGCCAGAAACAGGAAGTAATGTTCGAGTCTCGTGCTGAAGCTGCTGATGTGCCTCGGCGAGGCCGCGCCTTCCGGGGCGCGCTGCTGGTCGTCGAAATACAGCGGCAGTAGGGCGCAAGACGCAACGCGTCGCAGCGAATCAAGCCCAAGAAAATATGCCTGTTCGTTGTCGTCCAGTCGCTGCGGTGCTCCTATGGAGCGGCGTCGCAACGGCGTGCCAGCGAGCTGATTTATGGCTGCGCATCGTCACTGAGGCCCGCGCAGTCCAAAGATCACGATCCTGTCGCTGGCGACCTTGACTCGGATGCGCCAGCTAGGGCGAGGGCTGGCGGTGCATTTGACGACTTCCTGGTTTGTGTCAAACGTGGTCCACAGCAAACAAAATTGCGCGCTGGGGAATGCATCTTCGAACATGGGACTGCTGGCGCTCGCGTGGGATGCGGTGCGTAGGACGTCGCAACCGCACTCCTGTAGCGCTAAGAGCGCGTCCATCCATCTCTCCCAAAATCCGGGCGGAACGGCCTGACCGCCCTGCCCACTTCTGCCGGGGCAGGTCGGCTGAGCCAGCCTCGCGGGCTGGCCCATCCTCCTCCCAGGTGCACCGGCTGCGCGGGGTCTTCGGTTACATGGCTACCCTCAGACCCTGTCGGCGCTCCAGTGCCCGATTCCCGCGGGATTGGGGCCGTTGCTGAGGCGCGTCGCGCGAGCGTGGCCCGGGCCCCTAGAAACTTTTGAAAAAGGGGAAGTTGGTGACGACCACGATCTCGAAATTCGTGATGATGCGCCCCACTGGCCCTGCGCGACCGCGGACGTCCGCGGGCTGGCGTTGTGCACGATCACCTTGGTCTCGACGCGGCAGTCGCGGCCCGCCGCTCCGCCCGCGACGTCGATGCCCTCGAGGGCCAGCCCCGAGCGCAGGGCAAGTCGCAAGTAAGCGCCTGGCGGCGCGAGAGCGGCAGACACCAGTTCGCGACCGCAGGTCGCCGCGCTGACGTCTGGGCCAGCGTGCTGCACCGCCGAGAGCCAGAGGTCCTGCCTGTCGCGGGGGCCCGGGAAGCTCAGCAGCATCGCCCTCGCCCTCAACTTCACGAGGCCGACCCCCTTCTCGGCGCGGGGGTTGTTCGGCTCGTGCCCCGGCGTGCTGGTGACCAAGATGCCCCGCTTCGCAAAATGCTCCTTCGACTTGGTGCCGGTCAGCTCGCTCGCCCTGTCGCCGTGGATGCGGTGCACCACGTTCGCGCCCTCGAACTCGGACCGAATCGTGGCCAAAATCTGTTCTAAACCCTTCTTGCACGTCTCGAAGCGCATGTTCTCCAGGGGCACCACAAAGTACCACGTCTTGGCCGGCTCCGAGCCGGCCCCGGCAATCTCTGGTGCGACCTCGGCCTCCGCAGGCCCCTCCTCGTCCTGGGGATGGTCGGGCACATGCGCGGGTTTCACCGCCATCAGGCCCGGGTGGTCGCTCCTGAGGCGCAGCTCACCGAGCTCCGTCACCTCAAATGCGGCAGCGACTCGCGGCCTGGTGCAGCAGGATGGCGGCTCAGGGGCGGAAGACGAACTGCTCTGCGTTCGGGGCCAAGGTCAGCTCTAGAGTGAAGGACTTGCCCCACGACATGCTGAGCGAAAGGGCGGTGGACAGCATCTTCCTCGGCGTCGACCCCGAGAGCGCGTGGCTGGTCGGGCGAATCGACCCAAAGGCGTCTCGCCCCGAGGCGCGCTGGGTGATCGAGTCCTCGAGCTCATTCGTGATCCACCCGGATGCGGCGATGTTGCCGATGGAACCGGAGAGCACGGCAGAGGAGCCAGGACCAGGAGGAGGATCAGGAGAAGCAGGAGAAGCAGGAGGTGGTGATGGAGGCTTCGATGGTGATGCTGACGGTGATCGCGGTGGCGGAGGCCGCGGTGGACTCGGGGCTGGCGAGGCTCCGGACGTCCTCGGCGAGGTGATGCCCAAGGACATCAGCTGCCCAGCGTGCAGGGGCCAGCATAAGAGCCATACACGGGACGAGCACTGCCGGCTCGGCCCCCTTCTTCGGGACGACGGTGGTCAACGAGTTTTTGACCGTGGAGTTGGTGACTCCTATTCGTGCCCAGCGTGCCGAGGACGGCATGTGGCACACGCGCGTGACCATCGGTGCCGACTCTGGTCAGACGGAGGAGGAGGACGTGCAGGAGGAGCTCATCGGACAGGTCGTACATCGTCGTCGGCACGCCTTGCATCCAGATCGCATGGGTGGCCGACGGCTACTACCTCGACGTCTTCTGGAACCCCGGGGGGCCTCCTGATGCACCGCGACCGCATGAACACGCACGTCCTATTCGCCGCCACAGCCGGGGCCCTGGACGAGGAGGAGCAGGACGACGGCGACGACGTTCCACCTATCCTCCGGGAGATCCAGCGTGAGAGCGGCATGACGCTGACGTCGATGAAAATCCTCAACGCGGTCTTCGGCTCGGATCGCGAAGAATGGCGCCAAACTTTGGGGGCGGAGCTCATCTCCATGACGGACAACGAGACCTTCCGGAAGACTTCGGCCGCAGAGGTGCGAGAAGTACGACCTCAAGACGTCCTTCCTATGAAAGTTGTGACCGGGATCAAGGCTGCAGATTCAACTGGGCACAGGAGGAAGAAGGCGAGGGGCGTCGTGTGCGGCAACTTTGAGGGCGAGTCGGACGAGCCGGTGTACTGCAGCAACTTGGACATTGCGTCGTTGAGGGCTGCATTGGCGGTGGCCTGCAAGAATGGCTGGAGCCTCGGGGCCATGGACGTGTCGACCGCGTTCTTGAACGCACATTTGCCCATAAGGCACAAGCGTGTCGTCGTCAGGCCGCCTGCTGTTTTTGTCCGGTACGGCTTGGTTCCAGAGGGCGAACTCTGGGCGGCGGAGAAGGCCATCTACGGCCTGAGGGTCAGCCCGAAGGCTTGGAGCGACAAGCGGGGCGCTTTCGTGAAGTCGATCGTGGTGGATATCGGGGGCGAGCCGCACGTGCTGCGGCAATCGTCTGCTGATCTGGCGGTCTGGGCGGTGGTGCCGCAGCAGGGCGGCGACGTCGTTGGCTACGCGCTGGCGTACGTGGACGACTTCTTGATGATGGGGTCGGACTCCGCAGTGATAGCTCTGAGGGACCAGCTGGGGAAGCTCTGGCGCACGAGCTCGCAGCCGATCGCGAACAGGTCGGCCCCCGGCTCGCTCCGGCACCTGAGCATTGACATCGAGCTCAAGGCCGACGGCACTCTGACGCTCGGGCAGCGCCAGTACACCGAGGAGCTGCTCGAAAAGTGGGGGATGCTGCATTGCAACGGGACGGGGAACATCAACTTGGAGAAGGAGTCTTTCGAGCACTTCACGGCCACCTCCTCCAGGTGCGATGGCGACGACGAGGAGGAGGCACCCGAGGTGAATCTGTCCGACGGTTGGCCCAGAAGATGGCCGGAGGCCTTCTGTGGCTGGCCTCCCGGACGCGCCCGGACATAGCTTGCGCCGTGTCGCGGGTGGCTTCGATAGCGACCACCCGCCCGCTGACGAGCCTCTGTTTCGGCTAGAAGGTCTTGAGGCATTTGTCCAGTACGCGCCGCACGGGGCTCTACTACCTCCCCGGCAGCGGAGGCGCAGGCGGAGACGACCAGGGCGATGGTGGCGAGCCGGGCCCGGAGGCCGCCTTCGTCCAGACGTTCGCGGACGCTTCCCACGAGGACGTGGGAACCCAGACAGGGGTCGCTACGTATCTTGATGGTTGCCTGATCGATTGGAGGTCAGTCAGGCAACAATTAGTCGCTTTCTCCACTTGTGAAGCCGAGGTCAACGCACTTGCCATGGGCGAGAGAATGCAATCGTCAGTGGTAGCGACTTTGGAGAGCATGCAGATCCGATGCCGTGCCGTTCTGTATGGAGATAACAGCGCCGCCAACCAAATTGCGACTGGCAGGGGGGCGTGGCGCACGCGAGCCCTCTCGACCAAAGTTAACGCGATTCGTTCGCGTGTCGAGCGAGGGCTTCTGACTCTCCAGTTCGTCGCCACATCTTTTATGAAGGCCGACGGGCTGACGAAGTGCGGCGGAGTGCCGTGCGCGCAACGCACCAGAGGCCATATTGGCCTGCGCCCGCTGTGAGCTTTGATGCTCGCAGGTTTTGCGAGCCTCTGGAGCCCCGCACCGCGCCGAGAAGCTCGTGTATTACATGTCGGCGCGAGGTGCGGGAGATCGCAGCGGCATGCCACGACTCCCGAGGAGGAGCGCGCGTGGGGAGTGCCTCCGAAGCTGCGCCTGGCCAAACCGCCAGGTGACCGGAAAACGTTTCCCGCGCAGCGGCTGTTAAATATGAGAACAACTGATCGAATTTCCACCCCGCGTCGGGATCCCCACAGAATGCGTCGATCGCTATTAGTCGATTCTGCGGCCCGTCGGCCGCCGCCCCGCCGCCCCGGCCGGCGACCGTTTAGATTGCCACTGGAAGCTTGGATTTGGAGCGAGGGGCCCAAGGATGGCTCCCAGGAGCGCCGCGCGCCGCAGGGTGCACGTGAGGAAAAGATCGCGTTTCAAATGCATCCTGGTTTCTGTTGCGTTGTGCGGTGCGTGAGGCATGGCATGGCATAGCACTGCGTTGCACTGGCATGCACAATAATAATTCGGTCAAGGATATGATGCCGAATGTTTGGTGCATTCTGTCGGCGCCAATTCGCTTCAGAAGCGCGGGGAGCGTGGCAACGCCATCCCCGCGCCAGCTATATGCCAGTACTGCTTGGCGCAAGGCTCGACGTCCGAGCGAGGAAACAACATGCCCGAGAAGAGGAGCAACGAAGCGCGGCAACGCCGTTTGCTCCTCCGCCTCTCCCGTACTTGTGACACCCTCCTCAGGCTTAGGCTTCATCTCCCGATAGACAATACTCTTCAGCATACTCTTCCCATGCCTCCTTCCAGGGCCCGAGAAATCCTTCGTTTTATATTGCAGGGATTGAGCATCAAAGAACTGGCACAGGAAGAAAAACAATTAATGAACATATGATGTATTCTGCGCACCCGTTCGTGGACCAACACCCGCCGATGTCCACAAGCGCCCCCCGCCCCAGCCCCCGTTGAGGGCGCCTCCAAGGGGGGGCGCCTGCCCAGCAAAGCCGAAGGGGGTGTCACTCACGCCCCTCTCCTGGCGCACTGCCCCGCAACGGGGCGAATCCCGTCGCGCGGGGCATTTGGCCCCGCGGGGGGCTCCCGCGGGGGCCGAAAACACGGTCGAGCGCCACTGGGGCCCGTGCCGCGCCCGCCGGGGGCCTCGCGAGGAAGCTCGATCGCGGGGGTCGGGTTCGAACGAGGGCGATGGGGGTCTCTGCGGCGGCAATCGGCCAGAAGCCCGCAACCCCCGATACCGCGCGGAGGCGGCAGGGCCGCATTCGCTGGGATGCTCGCTGCTCCGCTTCCTGGCGCCTCTCCCGCTGCCGCTGCTCTCGACGGCATGCGGCCCCGCAGTGTCTTGCATCTCGTTGATCACGCGGCTGAGCTCCCCGCGGAGCGCGCCTCTGGCGGGGCCGCGCCCCCCTTGAACTTCGCTTTCATGTCGGCCATCGCTCCGCTCAGGAAACGCGAAACTTTCGGCTCGCGCACGTGGCCCGGCTTCGCCGCGTAGAAGACGCGACCCTTGCCCGCGCCTTTCTTCGCGCCGTCCTTCTGCGGCTTGCCCCGTTCGCTTTCCAGCGGAAGTAGCGCGAGAGCCCCGACGTCCCCGGGGGCGCACTTCGTCACCGCGACCACCCACTGCGCGGCGAAGCCCTCGGTCGGCGACTCGCCGCTCGGGTTGCCCGCGGTTGCCCGCCGCTTCGCCGGCGCCGCGCCGCGGGCACCTGCGCGCGCGGCGTGCCCCTGCTTTGACCTCTTCGCCGTCCTTTACCTGGGCCCGCATCTTGTTCGACTGGGCCTCGTGCGCTGTTTCTGCTGCTGCCTGCGCCCCCGAAAGACCGCCTTCCTGCAGCTCGGACCTCTCCGGCGCGACGGCGGCCAGGTCCTGGAGCTCGCGGGGGTCCGCCATGCGAGGCGACCCATCGTCTCCGCCGTTTCGCGCTGTCCTTTGCCGCCCACGTTGCCCTCCTTCTTGGCCTGCTCCTGAGCCGGCGGAGCGTCGGCGCCCCTCTGGATCGGCTCGGCCATCCAGCCCGGAGGCCCCTGGACGGACATCTCGGGTTCGCTGTCGCAGGGCGCGACGGCGGACCACTCGCGGCGCGTGCTCAACCAGATGGCCACAGAGGTGGTTGAGGTCTGCCCGTTCGACCCCGCAGATCTTGCGCACCAGGGCCCCGGCGGGACAGGCCGCGGAACTTGTTCGCCCCCTCGGCGAGGCAGCGCCCCCAGACCGAATAACGGGACAGATGGCGACCCGCGACCACTCTCGAACCCAAGGCCGCGCAACAGACCGCGCGGATGTTCGCGGGGCCCAGAGCGCGACCAGCGTTTCGAACGCGACGCCCCGACCGAAGATGATTTAAGATGCCACGTTCAATCCTTAACTTCGCGTCGCATTCATGGCCCCCCACCTCCCGCTCGCACGTCCAGTCTCGGGGGCCCTCAGGAACGGGGAGGTTCAGGCACCCCTGGAGGTCGCTGAAATTCAGGGGGGGGGGGGGGGGGGGGGGGGGAGTAGCAGCGCGAACCAGGGCAGACCTAATTGCAGAAAAATCTGCATTGACGAAGTCGGGGGCCACCTCGGGATCCACGAACTTGCAGGGGCACTCCGCGAGTTCCTCCATGATTAAAGCGTCCTCGCCAAATCTCCCACGCCTTTTGGAAGTCCCCCTCAATCCTGCTAGCAGACGGCAGACGGCCAAACGGTGCGCAACAGCTGTTGGTTGCGTTCAAGCGAGCGGGCAATCTGCCGGCGCCAGCCAAGACGCCGCGCCAGTAATTCCGCCTCGCTAGACGCAAGCTCCCAGCGGGCCAGAATCTCCGCATTTGACCACGTCTGCGCATCATCGCCCCCGCCGCGAAGCGCCGCGACCCTGGGGCGGAGCGCGACAGGGGCGCGCGAGATGATAATCGGGCCCCTGGCGCTGCTGGGATGCGATCATCATCGCCGCCAACGCGCTCTGGAGCAGCCCGCTTAGGATCACCCTCGTTCACTCCCACGGGCAGTTGAGATACCCAAACCACCCGTGGAGTAGAAGCCCGGGGACGCCGCTCCCTTCCATTTGAAGACCTCGGAGCCCGCAACCCCAGGCAGAGAGACGCGTTGCCCCGAGCACCCGGTGCACTCCTGGACTTCCCCGCCAAGACTCCGCGCGGCACGCTGTCAATGCCGGCGCTTGTCCATCGAACTTCCCTCGCTCGAGATGTTCAAGGGGAGTGGCCTGTTTGCTCTGGTGGACCCCGAACCCGACCCCCCCAGCTCCTCCTCGAGCAACTCGTCAGAATCCTTCAACCCACCGCAAAAACTCTGATCCTCTGATACCGAGACGCGACAGTGAAATTCCTTATGGCATCCGCGTATCTGAAAAGGTTCAAATTGGCTTTCACGTCTTTCCACTCTGCCGTCAAGGAACGGGCGGTTTTGTCGGCCTCGCGGAATTTCCAGGACAAGGGTCGACCCGCTGAAAATCCAGCGAAACTGTGCGACCACAGCCGGGCCCCCATGGTTTCTTCCTCCCTGGGTTCAAGCCAGCGCGGGCCCCCCTCGGTAGCGGGCTGACAAATCCGAGACCCTGGGCAAAACTGGAAGGCAGAGGAACATCTGAATCATTCCTCGCGCGTAGTTCGACCGTCGCGCCAAACTCAGAAAACACTCCCTCGACGCAAAGGAAGTGCTCGTGGTTTTCAAGCTCGCAGAAAATGTGCGATATGGATGCCGCAGTCGCCAGGCCGCGACCTGCGCAGCCATGATGGCTCCTTCTCGTCTGCGATGCTCAATGAAGCCGTTATCGCTCACATCGGGCGGCGCTCTCATGATGTATACTAAAAAACACTTACCAATCGGATCACATAGGCACGCGACTTCTTTGCCCTTGACTCCAGGGGCTCCGATTTGACGAAGTCCAACTGCTGAGCTGCGACGCCAGTGGCGCGGGGCGCGAGTCGCTCGACGAATCGCGCGAGAACCGCCCGACATTGCCTCCGCGAAGATCGACGCGCCTGTTATGTCCGCGCCAGCGCCTTCCCCCCGCCGGCCTCGATCGAGTCGTTATTAGGATGGAAACAGAACTGCCGCAGCTCGACTGGCGGGCGTCGCACGGGCGCAGCGCGTCGACGCCCAGCCTTCTGCGCGCCCACGATTCGCGTTGTATGTCGTTCCTAGCGCACTCCCCCATCTCAATGAATCGTCAGGTCGGACAGTGGTTCCTCGGACAGCTCCAGCATCGACGCCTCCGCCTCGTGCGCGGACATCCCACCATGCTTGCCTAGTTGTTGCCAAGCTTCCAACCATCCCGATCGGGTAGGTTGCGCTGCTCGAGCTGCCCTGCTGTCTCGATTCTTGGGCACGCGCCTGCAGCGGCTAGCTTGCCGGGACAGCCGCACCGCCATCGCCGGCTAGCGTGACTTCCAAGTTCCCATTATCTCCTCCCCCATGATGCGCTTGCGATCAGCACGCTCGCGTCGCCACTGTTGAAATCGTGATCTGGGCACTCCTTCAACTGCTCCTCGATCTCTATATGGTCTTACTCCGAGACTGCGCAGTCCCCGCGCCGCAGTCCTGCGTGGAGTTCAGGGCGCTGGCGGAGTAGATCGCGTCGCAGTTCAGCGTCGCCTCGATATTCTCTTGGATGGCCAGGGCGTAAAAATCTGGCCTGCCTCCACCAAGACACGATTCATGCAATCAAAAAAGCCATCGGGATCGCCACTTCCAAATAGTTCCGCCCAGTCAGTTTCTTCACGACTCAGTCGGTCTTCGGCAATTCATGAAAAAATCGTTCCAGGTCGCCCTCTCATCGCAGAGCATTCATGATATTGTCGCGATCCCAGGCCAGCTCCGGTTCTCTATAGAACTGTGAAAAGCACCTCGGCATACGAATGTGTAGAAGTACTGGTGCATGGTCATGTGGAGGGTCGAATTATCGCGTCCGCCATGTGCATCGGGAAGAGGATGTAGTCGATCATCCAGCAGCCGCCCTTGGTGCTGAAATACATCGGCGCCCAGCTGCTCTGCGCGTTTGCTGCCATCAGGTGGTGCTTCGCCGATTTCGTGCGCATCATATCGCCCACTCCCAGTCGTCGAGCTTCTCTTGACGCTGCCGTCTGCTCCGCCACGTCGTCGGGCACCCACTGCAACTGCGCTGCCATTCGGCTGAAGCCGATCCCGTCGTTCACGTCCGAATACACAATGGGGCAGCAACGCGTCGGCAACGAACTCAGCACCACGTCAAGCCATTGGCCCACGATGCGCACCGTCTCCAGGTAGTGCGGCACGTCCGCGGAGCTGCGCGACTGGGGAGGGAAGTATATCACAATGAGGCAGTAGTTATGACTGTCGCGCATGATCCTGACAGCAAAGTGCAAGTCCTCCTGCACCTGGCGGGCTGTGCCAGACTCGCACGATGTCGTCCGGTCTGCAATTGCGATGAAGAGTCACTGCACAACCTGTGCTGCAGTTTGTATAATGGCCTGGGCTGAATTCACCCTCTATGACCCACCGCCCCTGGACCCGAAGCTGCAACGGCTTCGCGGCCTTATGATCACACGCCTGAGCGCCTCCAGATACAATGGAATCTAACGATTCGCAAGACTGAACAAGCTCTTCCAGACGGTCCCCGCGGGCGCTGTGCGGATTCCACCCCAAGATCTTCGTTGTTGTCGGCCACGGCTCATAAGGCGGTTCGACGAGAGAGGAAAACCCCGCTGGTGTTGCTGCGAAAATCTCTGGCCTGCCGCCAGACGAATCGTTCGAGCAACAGCGGCGGCTGGAGGGGGAGGAGAAGGAGGAGCAGGAAGAGGAGCAAAAGGGGGGCTAGGACAACATTGGGTTGGCATGAATTGCCAGTCGAATGAGTCAGCATCGATACGAACACGATGCTACAGGCTGAATGGACGCGGTTCAACAGCATTCCCCTGGGCCCCGCCAATCCCCCCTGGCAAAGACCCCCCAAAACCTCGCTTGGAGGATCGGCGAAGCAAACATCCGGCGCAAGGATACATGGGCCCCTTGAGCGCAGGCTAAACTTGGGCCAGCTCGGAACGACTTGGGCGGAACTGTGGCCAACAACGAAGAAGCGCAAGGATCATCAGGGACGACCCGGGCGCCCCCGAAAAGTTCTCGACGAGGCATGGGTGGTGGAGCACGTCCTAGAGCTCGTAAGCCACCCGGAAGCCCCCCATGACACTTCCAGGCGAGCCTCCGAAGCAGGATAGCGAGGGGGAGTGGGAAGAGGCAGCGAGGGGGCTGAGCCAGGAGAACGCGCGCTCCGATGACGACCAGCCCCAGCTTGACGAATATGTTGAGGGTGCCTGGCTTCGGCCGCTTCGGCCGCGCGTACGGGCTCCCCAACGCGCTCCGCCGACCGCTTTGCGGCCCTCAACCACGTATCTTCCACTGAAACGTTTGGGGTGAATGAGGGGCGGGGGCGAACCCTCCTGAACTGGCTTGTAAACAAAAACCGCGATGGGCACCCGCACCGGACTTCTTCACGGGAGCCCCGCACGCAGACTCGACTCGGGCGGCGAATTCCCATGGTCTTCTTCGCCCGACTGTGAAGTGTACAATCATACGGGCCGGACGTGTTCAGCAGCGCTCGCCTACCTTCCTGTCCATCTCCGGCGCTTTCCTCCCTGACCTACCATTACCCTCTTCTTGTTTCTACGGTTAATGCGGATATATCAGCTGATGCTGCTGCTGCTTGCTGCTGCTGCTGTTCACCTTTCCCCTCCCTTCCTGAAGAGCACAGCTCCCGCCCGCGCGTCTGCATTGCATAAACTTCTCTCAACTCCTTCCGTACCCGAATCCCATGTTTGTATTTCCATGTCCGCTTCCAAGGGAGCGGCGAGGAAAACCATATTACGCCTTGCGCCACACCGTCGTCAAAAGGACTAGCTTCCATCCCTCTATGCTCATCATTCCACCTCCTTTTCCTGCCCACCACTTCCCTCTCCGCTTCCAGTTCCCAATCCCATCCTCTCCTCGCCATCGCCTTGTCGTCGACTTAGTCGTCGCCGCCTCCGTGGTCGTCCTCCCCCGCATCTTCCCTGCAAACGCGGAGGAGAGGTGCGTCGGCTGCTTCGGCGAGGATATGCTCGTGAAGCCGAGACGATGCCGAGAGATGGTGCACGAGCGCAGAGCGCATGGCGACTATCGTGCGCGTGGCGATTATCATTCGCGTGGACTTCTGGCGAAGAAACAGTTCGCCCCCAGACACATCGAGCTCGACCTGCGACAATTCCTCCCCCAGACCCCCTCAAACAGCGCCGTGGCGGATACGCAGCGCAAGTGGGCAACTGTTAACAGGACGCGACGGAAGTAAAAACGAATGTAAAGGCGCGTGGAAGACATGATGTTGCGTTGAAATTCTGGGGGTGGCGCCAACATCTGATACCGCACTTCTCCAGCAGGCGTGCGCCCCTCCAACCGTGGCAACGTGGACCGCCCCAGGAGGCCCAAACATGCGACGACAAGGGATGGGCATCAGCACTGGTACCAGAGAGCACAAGATCGAATCGATAAGTCGGATCGGCAATCGGAATTTACCGGATCGGGGGAAATCGGCAACCAAATCGGGTGAAATCAAATCGGCGGAAATCCAAAACGGAATCCATTTGCACATCGGAATCCAAAACGGGATCCGAAGTCGAATCGAATCGGAATCGGAAGACATCGAGATCGGACCGAATCGAAGCGAAGAGTCGACACGCACCCTGTGGTACGCCTTGCCCATCTCAATTTCGGCGCGGCGCGCGGATCCAGCCCGGGCGCAGAACAGCAGGAACATCGCGCTGCCCACCGTGGACGTGGCTGAGCTCATCACAGCGCCGCCAACCTCGGTGGGCCCGCGTGCGCGGAGAGCCAACCGCCCGCTTCGAACCAGTCCTCCTCTCCCTCCCACCTCCTCCCATGCCCTTTCGACGGTACGCCAACGTAGATCAACTGGGATCGTACCGCCTGGCTGCTGTAGAAAAGTGGTGGCATCGACGCACGCGAGGTATAGCAAGCACGGAGGTCTCCAGCACACAGCTGCACAAGGATCGGCAAAAAGGCAACTGCATGCAGAGTCGCCCGCTAAGGCGCAAATTGAGCGTGCGGAACTAACAATGATCCCCAGGATGATGAAAAACACATATGCTGGCCAGCGTGGACCCCAAACAACTGGTTCTAGGATACTAAGCGGTGCAATGAGTGTAATGCAGTCTATCTGTTGCAACTCCTCCTTACAGAACTTGCGATTGTCAACGGCACTGCTCGCGCAACCACCCAACTCTCCCACCCGTAACTTACTTGACACAACCCGTGCTGCGGCGATTGCGGTGACTGCTAAGGCCACGGTTGGCGCATCTCTGCGGCCGCGCTGGCACGCGCAAGCTCGCGCGCGAAGCGGGCAGCTGGTTTGGCACAGCCGATGCGGCCGCGATGGCGCTTACCAATGGGACTTTCGAACGCGCGTCAAAAGGCAGCGCTGGCGCGCGGCCACTTCAATGCGGTCGGTGGCTTGGGCTGGCGCGATATCACGATGACGTCGACAAGGGCACAACGATGATCATAACAGCGAAGGTTGTGGCGATGACGACGATGACAGTGGCAAGGCCAATGACGTCGCCGATGCTGGTAACGCCGATGACGATGATGATGTCCATGTGTCGTTGAAACAGGTGCTTGAATGATGATTTCTTCACTGGCGACGATCGCCGATGACGACGACGTGATGCGGTGACGCTGGTGAGGATCATGGCAAGGAAATGCGCGCGCGCCGGAGCCCCAAAAACCACGGCCAACTTCTTGCTGGAAACCGACTGGCCTTCACAAATGTTTGACCGGCTCTGTGTTGACACGCTTCGGAATCCCATGGTTTGGAAGGGTTTCGGCACGCTCGCATGGCGGCGTGCGCGCGTGTGGCCCGCATGCTGTTGTTCGATGGGAATTCGCGCGTCGGGCGCATGCTGGACCAATGCGTATTCACTGCGTGGTGAGATGAAGCTGCGGTGTCTGGGCGAAGCCACGACAATCAATGGTTTCCAATGATGCCACCAAACACGAGCGGACAGAACATTTGCAGCATATGTGATGGGAAATCATTCAGATTGGAAGAACTGAAGTGTTTGGTCTGACTTCGACATGTGCGCGGGCGTGTAGACGTTGCTTGATTTGTTGTAAGGGACTCTTAAACAACACTCTTCTGCGGTAAACAAAAGCGCGCTTGCTATTTACTGACAGGGATGGGGAGTGGTCGATAACGGGACTGCGTGGGATGGTATGCGATCATGTGCATAATGAGCGATGAGGCAGAATGACATGTAATTTGCACTGTGCCAGGGGTAGCGATTGATCTCAAGGGGGCGGATGGATTCTCTTGCTGGAAGAGGCAAACTTATGCGGTGTAAGGTACGCGGTGCAATCTACGTGGCGCAATCAAGTAAATGTAAGAGCATGGGATTGTCAACGGCACTGCTCGAACAATCGCCCAACTCGCGTAGCCACAACTCATCTTGGCTTGCACAAGCTAATGCGGCGGCGATTGCGGTGACTCCTTGGCCACTGCTGGCGCATCTCTGCGGCCGCCCTGGTACGCGCAAGCTCGCGCGCGAAGCTGGCAGCTGGTTTGGCACGGCCGATGCGGCCGCGATGGCGCTGACCGGTGAAAACTGTCCAGCGCGCGTCAAAAGCCACTCGAATGGCGGGTCGGTGGCTAGGGCGGGCGCGGTCTGGCGATGACGTCGGCAACGGCGGCAACGATGATGATACTAGCAAAGGTAGTGGCGACGATGACGATGACGGTGGCAAAGCCAATGACGGCACCGACGCTTGCATAGCCGATGGCGATGATGATGATGATGTCCATGTCTCTAATGAAGGCGTTGAGGTGTGATGGTCACAATTGCGGCGGATGTCGATGACGATGGCATGGTGCAGCAAAACTGATGAGGGCGATGGCGAAGAAATGCACGCGCGAGGGGCTGCTGCGTGTTTTGTTGGTGCATCGCGTGGATGCCCCTGTTGTTGTGGGCTGCGAAAGTGTATCTGTCGTTGCCCTGGCGATTGTATATATGCGCATGCTGGAATTTCTCAGGCTGGTCCTGGATGGCGCCGTCTTCGCTGCAGTGGGGCGACCATGGACCCTGGACGCGCCTTTCTCTGTCGTGCTAGCTGCATCAGTTCTCCCCATGATAGACGAGTTACCTGATCGTTACGCACGTGTCTGGGGGGGCGCTTCTTCGCCAACGAAGAACCACTTGTCTCTCCGGACCCCGCAAAACGGGGCGCGCTAGACCCGGGCGCTCAACGCCCCTCGAAACTCATATTCCAAACCGCGGCGCGAACAAAATACTGCACTGCAGCATTTCCAAAATAAACCCAGGCACAGGCCCTGAAAGCCTGCCCGCCCGGGCGCAAACCCGAATCCTGCAGCAAGAAAACAACAAATGCACGGGTGCTGAAAAATGTGACTATGCAAGAAGCGGTGTCATTTCCTTGGTTATCCGCGTCCTGGATTACCTGCGCCCTGATCTGAGGGGGCCTGAGTCTCGTCGTCGCTGAAACCACTGGAAATCAAACATGAAGCATGGCATGTCCGCCAAGCGTGAAGTGATACGCGCGTGGCGAAGATGCTGTTCCCACTGCGGCAGCGCCCATGGCAGTCCCGGTTCGAGCAGCTGAAAAACGAATAGTTGGCGTCGGGCAGGCATGAAATCGCGAAATGCACGAGTCGACTGGCACGCGCAAAACCCTCCCCCGTCGGAGCTGGACAGCACTCTTGGCCAAAGCGGGGCCAGAAGTAAACCTGGCGAGCATTGCGAGAGTCGTCGGGTATTGCGTCCCGTCAATGTGCGTTGGCACCTGCGCTCGCGGCGGTGCTGCGGTCGATGGATCGGGCCGAAGTAGGTGAGTCGCTGTGCGGTGGGGTGCTGTGTTGGTCGCTGCATGATGCCTGTTAGCTACGCGCGGCGGTCGGTCGCCCTCCCCGACGTCGGCGGGGTGGATGTTTGAACTCGGGAGAATTCTTGCAGCGGCAGATTCCGCGTCTCCGCCTCGTCGCTGTCCGCCCTGCGGGCCCGGGCCATGCGCGCTGCGAGGTCATGCCGCCAGACAGGCATCGGCACGTTGGAGAACTCGTCGATGCAGATGTTGGTTTTCCATCTTCACGCGGCGGGGTGCAGGGTTCGCAGGAAGGGTCGTTGGTGGAAGCGGCCAGATATTTAGAATGGCTGATGACAATGCGAGCTGCCATGGGAATCGCTGATGCTGAATGTAGCAGACATGAGATCAGCCCCGCGCCTCCCCGTCGCCTGTGCCGCGCTAGAAAGTGCGCAGGGCAGCTGGGCACTTTGCGAGCAGAAACAGCAGTAAGTACTCTCTGTAATAGCAATCGCCGCCCTCTCCCAGGCGCGTCCCTCGGGACCCCCGCGCAGGGCGCGGCGGGGACAGTTTGTCATGCCCTGAAGTCGTGGGAACAGAACTTTCCCAGGCACGTTCTCCCTGAGACCCCGTGCACCGGGCGCGCCGCCGTGGGCCCCCCTGCATGGAGCGGGTCGGGCGTGGGCGCTTATCGTCCAACGCACAATCGTCGACAAATCTGGGTCGCGCTGCGCTGGTCACAAGACGCAGTTGCCGTCGTGCGCGACAAGCTGCGATGTTGAGCTGCCAGAGTGTAGGCAGTGTGGATCGAGGTGATATCGCTCGCAATTGTGCTAGTTACTCCGGCGATAATTGCACTGCTCGGCTGGTGGCCGAGACGCCTATGTGCGATCCAGGCGGCATGTGCTGCCGCAAGGATCCTGACCGCTCCAACCACGCATGCCCCGCCTCCGGGCAGGCCACTCGGGTCACTCGGGCCCCTGCTCATGGCGTGGGACGGCCGATGTGCATGACCCGCAGGTCCTGAGATGACAGCCAATCGCGTCCGAATCTGTCTGTCCCGAGTGTCCTCGCAGCCCCTTCCCCCAGGCACGCCTCAATAGGCGCCGTCTCAGGGCACGAGGCAGGCGCTGATCGTCTATCAGACTTATTGTGCCACCAAGCTGTACTATTGTCGGCCTTGCCTGTGGCGCGCCGTCTGGGAATTATGGGGGATATACTGGTTGGCCGCAGCCTTCAATGCATGGGCACGGAACTGAATGTTCTGGTTGAACCGCACCCTGTGTGCCCCGCCCCCAGGTAATCCCTCTTGGGGCCCTGTTCAAGGCATGGGGCGGGTATCTTTTCATGTCCTCAGGCAACGAGTCGACTGCTGGTGGTGGTGGTGCTATTCAGCGCTGGCGGCAGTCAATGCTGGTGGCCAGTCGTGCTAGTGGTAGTGGTGGTCGGCCAGTGGTGGTCAGTCGCACTGGTGGTTGGGCGTGTTGTCTGCTGATCGTGCTGGTCAATTGGTGGTCAGTATGGTGGTGGCCCCGTTGGTGGTCGATGTTCTTTGCTGGTGGTCGAATGTTGTATCTGTAAATTTCTGTGTGGGTCAAAGTGGTAAGAGTAGTCCTGTAGATGGCGTCTCTAACTTAAATCGAAAGTGGGTCAATCAGTGACTAAATGGTCTGTGGCCAAGGGGATGCTGGTTGTGCTGGTTGTGATTGGGTCAGCGGTAAGATGATGCTGGTTTTGTGTGGGTCCACGGTCAGTGGTCAAGGTTGTGCTGGTTGCGTCGTTGGTCGGTCGTGTCTGGGTCTGTTGTCAAGACGATGTTGGTTGTGCTGGCTATTCAATCGTCTTGGCGACGTAGGACAACATGTTGGCATCATCGTCGTAGAGGTGGTTGTACGGTTGGTTATATGCAACGTTGATCGTGGTGGTACTGATGTTGGTGGTCGTGACGATTGTGCTGATTATCCGGCCGGTGTT